TGATGCGATTTGAAATTGGACCGGTAAATCGGTGCCGCTGTTGAATCCGGCTTCTTTCATCGACGGCAGCTGGCTAAAGTCATACACGAGAAATACCGGATATCACCCATGGAGTCTCTGATGTGATTTGAAATTGGACCGGCAAGTCGGTGCCGTTGTTCAATCCGACTTTTTACATCGACGGCAGCTGGCTAAAGTCAAGCCTCTCCTTTCTCAAAAGCATTTAGAAACAGGAATTCATGCCTTCGTCACATCCCGGCTGGATTACTGTAACGCACTTTGGAGTCAGGCAATCCTCCATCAAGCGTCTCCAGCGGCTCCAGAATGCTGCCGCTCGCCCCCTGACTGGGACTCGTAAGGGGGAGGACAAACCTCCTAGGCACCTGTGTCACCCCCCAGCCCCCACACCCGCCGTTGTCCCTGCCATTAACACGTCTGAAGGGCTAAAAGGCCAAATAGGAACGCTAGCGTACGGTCAAATTTTTTCCATCCAAGGGAGAATCCAGACAGCAGTTGTTCTGGGAACAGACCGTCCACAATTTCAGACTTTAGCTTGTGGCGTCAATTAGCCAAATCCCCGATCAATCACTCAATCCATTCCAAGTCGGGCCAACTCCTCCTCGGTCTTTTCCATTTTGCGAAGAGACTCCAACACCGCATCCACTTGTGATTGAGTTCGGTCAACACAAATTACGGATATGTGTTTCGTAATGACAAGCGCCAACAATAGAAATTCTTCGCCTGCTACTAACAACCGCCTTTAACATTAGAAATGACAGCCTAGTTGTTACGAACGACCCCCTGGCGCAATCCACACTCTTTCCCATTTCTAAATGATAATGGCTACCCAGAAATGCGTCGCCGGTTCTTAACGACAGCGATGACTTTGCACAACAGAAATGCGTACGCGGAACGGGGAGGGTGGTGGGGGGGGGTGTTTTCCTTCGCGCTCGTTTGTCAAGGAAGCCGAAAAGTGATTAGCATCCCGCTAACCGCGCGCACGTCCTCCTTAACCAATTAGGAAAGCCCGAGGGCGCGGCGGCGGCGGCCGTCTAAATAGATTCGCAAAAAAGGGGGGCCGGT